TTCTATATTCATACAATAACAAAAAATAAAATATATGTGTTAATCTTATGAAAAAAATTAAAGTATTTTTATTTTATAGCATATTCAGAAGACATAAATAAAAATTTATAATAATATTTTATAAGATCGTCTATTTTCATAAAAAGAGATGGTCTTTCAATATTAAAAAAAAAAACACTAAAATATAGCCAACAATATGTTCCTTGACCTTTTTGTTGAATTTTTGTTTCATTATTTCATTCACCAAGACAAGAAATCTGAATCCACGCGCAAATGCTACGCAGTGATTCCACGCGCTATTCTTCCCCCAAATGCTAACATTGGCCACTTTATAGTAATAATAATCTCCGGCACCTAATCATCATCATATTTCATTTTCTTGATTTTTCAGTACTTTTATCCGAATCCTGGATTTTGATTTCTTCGATTAATCCCTTCTAAACTCCCCGTATTTGTCAAACAATTGATCAATATCAGTAATTTTAAGAATTTCGAATCCGAATCTCGAATCCAATTCGATCTTCTTCATTCCGCGATCATCAAAGACAGGTCAGATTGCTGTTTCAGACTCTAATTGTTACTTACGGTGTAATTTACTTATCATCATCAAATTAGGGTTTCAATCAGTATCAGTGTAGCGGTGCATGCCCTCATTGTTGATTATCGTGACCACTTATATTTTAATGTTTTTTGTTGGTTGGCAATGTGTAATGATTCGATTTTTACTGCCTCGTATGATGTTATATCTTAGATTTTGGAAGTGGGTTTGATTCAGAAACTTTGTTTTATTTTGCCCTTTTGCTGGAAATTGAAAGTGGCTCTTTTACTTGAAAAAGGCAGGGGAGTTGGTGAAAATGAAAGAACTAAAAAGTAAAAGCAGCTCATGAAAGCAGATTCATTACAGTCAAAAATCTTCATATAAACTTTAACATTAATGTCGCTTTNNNCGAAGTAGTTTTGTATTCAGTTTTTTGTGCACTTAGATCTTATTAGTTTTCTGCTTCCCTTTTCGATTTTTGGCTGACTAAATACTATTCAGCATGCCTGCATTGATGCAAAAACCACTCAACCTTGGATTTTTCATCTTCTGATGCAATCACCAAACAATACCGCGAGTAAGAGTAAGAAATTTTTCAAACGCCCGAGATCTTCTCCTCAAGAAATGCCTTCAACCGAGACAACTACCTCGAATGCCCTCGACGATTTCCCTATATTTCCAGTTGAGGAAATCGTGCAGTATCCACTACCTGGCTACGGTATACCTTCTGCTATAAGTTTCAGCCCAGATGATAGCTTGATTGCGTATTTGTTCAGTCCCGACCAGACTTTGAGTAGAAAACTGTTTGTATTTGATACAAAAAGTGGGAATCATGAATTGTTTTTTAGCCCGCCTGATGGTGGTGGTCTTGACGAGGATAATTTGTCGGCCGAGGAGAAATTAAGGAGGGAAAGGCTGAGGGAGCGTGGCTTGGGCGTGACCCGATATGAATGGGTAAAGTCGAGCTCCAAGACAAAACGGGTTATGGTGCCTCTTCCGACTGGGGTATGTTACCTATAAAACCTTGTCTTGACTTATTAGGGTGTGATTGGATATGGATTTGATTGGTTTTTTTGTTAACCATAGTTAATTTTGAAAAATGTGGTACGATTAGTTGTTTGTGAGAATTTAAGTTTAAATTAAAATAATATAAAAAATAAAATAATTAAAGTTGGTTTGATGTAAAAGTATGAGAAAAAGGATTAGAAGTGATGCTTAGTTAAAATGATGTGAGTGGATGAATTGTGAATTAAAGTTGATGTGATGTGTAAGAATGATTGGTTGATATTATTTAGTTATATTGATAATATTGAAGATAGTGAGGTTGGGCTAAAGTTGAGTTAAATTTGAGTTTTGATTGTTTTTTTTTTTTGGTAAGTTTATATCCAATCACACCCTTAGTTTCCTAGAGTCTTATATTATTTAGTGGAGAAATTGTTGTCTTCTTTTCTATGAAAATCATAATTTTCGCAAACATGATTGTTCCAATCGGTTCTTCCAAAAATGGCAAATTGGTCAAGGTCGAACTCAAACCATTGCAAATCGTTTTTTAATATTGTATATATTCAATACCTTTCTCATAAATAACAGTACATTTCTAAATATGTTGCACATGTATCAACTAATTTTTCATATAATGTAGTCATTTATATTATTTATCAAAACAGGGGTTTCTCATGATTTTAGAAAAATTATTCCTTAAATCATTTTGTAATGTTCTAATCCTATAGCTTCACCAGTTTAATGGCTGCACTTTTTGGGACCTTGATAAAGACAATATCTGAACATGTGTATCATATTAATTGCATTTATTTTGTTTGGCTAAATCCACAATGGCTATCCATGTGCAGATTTATACGCAGGATATTGGCGACAAACCACAGCTTAGGCTTCCATGTGAGTCTGACTCGCCAATTATAGACCCGCACGTGTCCCCAGATGGGACCATGCTGAGTTACGTGAGGGATAACAAGCTTCACGTATTAAATTTTCTGTACAACACGTGCAAGCAGTTGACTGAGGGTGCCAATGAGACCACCATAGTAAGCAAAATTATATTGGCTGACTTCTTGTTTTTTATTATCTCCTTCTATTAATATGTACTCTTATCATGCTCCCGTTCACATAAAGTAGAAATTCTTTAATTACAAGGATCGAAAGAGAAATGACAATAAACTAGGAACTTTGGAGGGAAAATGATGAGAGTTCTTATATCCCTAAAAACTGCACATGCATATTGCGAGTTGTTTCAGTCGTATGAATGATAATATTTTGCTGATCACTTGCATCCAATGATAATATTAAAGGTAAATCAATTAAGTGCCAAATTTATTTTGACGCTTCACGCATTCACAGCTATTTTCATTTGCCTTTGTTATGTTCTATTATTTAGTTGTAAAGTTGCAACACTCTGAAAGAGTTCGACTTTTATTTAGTTTCGCTAGTTGCACAAAACTGACATTTCTTATGTTGCATGCATTTTCAGACACACGGCCTAGCAGAGTTCATAGCACAGGTGACTATTCCTCTTTTTCTATCAGTTAACAGTTGCCAAAACTACCCCCACAGTGGCTTTAACCTAATTTGCAAACTGTTTGTAATATTTCACGTAGGAAGAAATGGACCGTAAAAACGGCTACTGGTGGTCCCTCGACAGTAAATACATCGCATTTACCGAGGTCGACTCCTCGAACGTGCCCTTTTACCGAATCATGCACCAGGGAAAGAGCTCGGTTGGCCCAGATGCTGAGGAAGATCACGCGTACCCTTTCGCCGGCTGTCTTAACGTAAAAGTCCGTCTAGGCGTGGTCCCATCCTCCGGCGGGCCCGTCTCGTGGATGGACCTTATCTGCGGAGGCGAAGACAGCTCGGACGAGGAATATCTTGCCCGAGTCAACTGGATGCACGGCAATATCCTTACAGCCCAAGTCCTGAACCGCACGCATTCTGTCCTTAAAATCCTCAAATTCGACATCAAGACCGGTCAACGTACGGTCATCTTGGAAGAAGAAAACGAGACATGGGTCAACTTGCACGACTGCTTCACGCCGCTCGATAAGTTGCCTAACCGGCCCTCCTCGAGCGGTGGATTCATTTGGGCGAGCGAGAAAACGGGCTTCAGGCACTTGTACTTGCACGATAGTGACGGAGCTTGCGTGGGGCCCATCACTCGAGGCGAGTGGATGATCGAGCAGGTGGTGGGAGTGAACGAAGCCTCGGGTCTCGTTTATTTCGTCGGGACTTTGGATTCGCCTCTCGAATCACATCTTTACTGTGCAGATTTATTTCCTCCGGCGGGCACTTCCTTGCGGGCCCCGGTGAGATTGACGATTGGGAAGGGTAAGCACGTGGTCGTGCTCGATCACCAGCTGCGGAGCTTTGTTGATGTGTACGACTGCTTGGAATCGCCTCCGAAGATTACGGTTCGCTCGTTGCTCGATGGGGGCTCGATCGTGTCGCTTTACGAGAAGCAGACGGCTGATGTTGGGAAGTTCCGGAAGCTTCCGCTCGAGCCGCCTGAGATCATTCGGTTTGAGGCGGGAGACGGGACGACGACTCTGTATGGGGCTCTGTACAAGCCCGATGAATCGAGGTTCGGGCCGCCGCCTTATAAAACGATGGTTCATGTGTATGGTGGGCCCAGCGTGCAGCTCGTGTGCGATTCATGGGTGAACACGGTCGATATGAGGGCCCAGTATTTGCGTAGCAAGGGCATATTAGTCTGGAAGGTAAATATATATGTTTTTTTAATTTTTGACTGTTGCAAATTTTTTTCGATTTTTTTTGGGAGATGCATTTGTTGCACCTTTATATGCTACAGGAATATACATAACGGCAAATTTCTTTTACACCCCCGACATGAAGATTACATTACGTTTTTCACCCCGTTAGTTAATAATCTAATTTTTTCACACCGGAAAATACAAAGGTTATCCGAATGGTTCGTATAATTGTCACATATCAGTATTGTCGCATAAAAAAGTTCGAAGGGTTATGCAAATGCCTTCGCATTTTTTACTTTCGCACAATTGTCGCACTTTCTTGGGTGAAAAAGTTAACTTTTTATACCGCCGAAAAACTTTTCACTTTTCAGAACGGGTGAAAATAGCTATTTTCTCTATAAATAATGCTATCTGCACTCCATCACCTTACACTTTTTCCATTTTCTCCGGGAACTCTTAAATAAACCATTTTCATGTTTCACAATTTGCACTCTAAAGTATGAATTTTAGGCATATTCTTATACCATTCTCTCATTTTTACCCCCCAGAAAGAAAAAAAGTAAAACTTGTTTGAGTTCTTATCCCAACTCCTATGTATATTTTATATTAACTCCCGACAGATGGATAATCGAGGAACCGCCAGGCGGGGTCTCGATTTTGCCGGAGCCCTCAAATTCAAATGCGGCCACGTAGACGCTGACGACCAGCTGGCAGGTGCCGAGTGGCTCATAAACCGAGGCCTATCCATGCGGGCCCACATCGGGATCTACGGTTGGAGCTACGGAGGATACCTCTCGGCCATGGCCCTCGCGCGTTTTCCGAGCATTTTCCGGTGCGCGGTCTCCGGTGCTCCAGTCACTTCGTGGGACGGCTACGACTCGTTCTACACCGAGAAATACATGGGCCTGCCCCTAGAGAATCGGCCTGCTTACGAGCGAAGCTCGGTTATGCAGCACGTGGGGAATTTGGAGGGAAGGCTTCTGCTGGTGCACGGGATGATCGACGAGAACGTGCACTTCAGGCACACGGCGAGGCTCGTGAACGCGCTCGTGAGTGCCGGGAAATTTTACGAGCTGCTGATTTTTCCGGACGAGCGGCACATGCCACGTAGGCAGAGGGACCGGGTCTACATGGAGGAGAGGATATGGGATTTTATCCACCGGTGTTTGTAAGTGATGTTATTTCTTTTGTTTCTCTTTCTAAGAAAGATTAGATTTTTTGTCTGCAGCTGTTGAAGGAATTTTTGAGTGACAAAACATGAAATAAATTGGAAATTTACTGTAAAAAAATATATCAAACGGCGCAATGCACCTTGGGTCGCTACGGAAACAGCCTCCTTGTATAATTACAAGGGTAAGGTCTGCGTACAACTGACCCTCCAGACCCCAACCTGTTGGGAATATACTGGGTATGTTGTTGTTGTTGTTGTTTATTTTTGCTGGTATAGTCGGTGTTTAATGGGTGTGTTGTTGTTGTTGTTTATTTTTGCTGGTATAGTTGGTGTTTAAGTGTGGCTTTTGAGGTTTACTGGGGGGACTTGTACAAAACCAATGGGTTTAGAAGCCCTTTTTGAGATGTCACATAGATTTTGTATGAATTTAAGAGATTTTGTATACAGAGAAGGTAAACAAAGTCCAATTGAATGTGGCGCCAATTACTACTATGTGAATCCCAAGACAAGAATGTGGAAATTGTGAAAAATTAGTGGATTTGTGCATGTTATGATAAAAAAGATTGTGGTGGTGGATTCAAATGGATGGTTATATCATTTTTTATGATTATAGTTCATCTTTTGTTAGGTTGATTGGTGGTTATCAAGTCATACTCTTATAACAAATTTACAAATTTACATACTTTCGAACGTCATACTTTAAAATAGCATATAAATAAAAGTATGATATTATTTAATAGTATGATATGCACTTCTTGTAAGAAAGTATGTCTGACTAACACATCATTTGTGTATGAGTAAGAGTGTGTTTGGTAAGCACTATAAGTTAGTTTATAACTTATTTGGTTAACTTATAAGTCTTTTGGATATAAATAAATTTGGTTTGGTAGGATGCACTTTTTTAAAAAAACTCGAGTTTACTTATAAGTTTTTTGGTACTTATTTGAATACAAAAAACTTATAAACTAACCAAATAAACTATAATCTAGCTTATAATGCTTACCAAACACTTATTTAAATGTTCCTCTTCTCTATATTTCCTTGAAAATGGCGCTCAGCCCACAGAAACTGTTCAAAATCTTTTAAAGAAAACGGAATTTTTTCAGGAACTTCCGTCTAATCAAATGAAATTCAATTAAAGAAATATAACTTTGTAGAATTTGTCTCTACTATATAACTTTGTAGAATTTGTCTCTACTTGTACTTGTTTTTTGATCCGTAGCCACGTGCTCTAATCCTCTGAGCTACAGGCCCCACCCCGTCTCCACTGGATTTGTTCCCGAGAGTACCTTCAAATAAAGGAACCTTTCCTCTCCCCACCTTTCGGCTTAAGAAGATGTGAAAGCGCGTTTATCTCTATAAGAACGGTACGTTTTGAGGTGTGAAGTGAGAGAGAAGGATGTCATAATGGGGGTTTTGAAGAAGACGACCTTTTGGTTTTTCATTTTTTTCGTTGAAAAAGTCTCAAGAATGAGAGGTGCATCGAGCTATTTTTCCGCAGGACCTCCCCTACCTATCAGCGAGTTTACCAAACATAACCTAAGGATGTTCTGGGGCTAAAGACTTATCTGGTCAAGCAATAATACATTTCTAACAAATATATATACTTTCAAATTGAAATATATGCTAATAAACACAAATAAAAATAGGTTATTTCAAGCCAAACCTTATAAGCAAATAAAAATACGATTATTTCAAATCATAAAGGTGTATTTTGTTATATGAAATAACCCGCCTAATTGATAGACCGCCTAACACAAATAAAAGTATATTATTTCAATTCATATGTATTTTTGTTATATGGACTAACCTGCCTAATAAATAGACTCTCTCATATAAAAGTTTGTGTTAGTAGTTTTTAATCAATTATAGCGATTGATATGTATTTTTTATGAAAATAAATATAGGTTTGTTTTTATTTTCAATCAATCATAATAATTATAGTGTTTTATTACTCGTGAACTTCTACAGGATTTTGGGAGAAAAATAAAAAAACGAAAAAAAAACCTTTTTTAAATGTTCTTCATTTCAAAATTACAACCGGCCATGACAAAAATCATCTGATGTGGCAGAACGTAACTGGTAACTGCTAATATATATACCAGTGGATAATCTCGTCATTTTACAACTGTTAGATATTTGTTATTTTTCATTTTTTCAATCAATTTCTAATAAATCCCGTAGCTTGGGGGAGACGAAGACGTCATTAACCCCACCCGTTTAGACGGCGTTTACACTGTTTATAGTACAATTGTTCAAATGTCTATCTTGACCCTACAAGTGAATTAAAGAATATTAAAAAAAAAAAAGGTGGATTTATAAGAAACCTACACAAACTGTTTGGAATTTTATATTTATTCAAATTGAGCCGAAGAACTCAACTTGTATAATAAACGCGCAAGCTAAAATCAGCTTGTATAATAAATTAGCCGAAGTCAAAAGACTTGAGCTCGAGTCAGTTCGTTTACTATACCTAAAATTTTAAACATAAAATGTCCATCCTAAAAAATAAGATTGATTCGACATTTTATTTAAAATTAAAAAAAAAAAAATTGAATTGTTTATATACAAGCTTGGCTATAGACTCATTTAACAAACAACCTCAATTAGCTATTCGAGTTAAATTGTTTTATATTTAGACAAATCAAGCTCGAGTTTTCACGAGTTAAATAGAATTGCGGTTGTCAACCAATGGATTTCTATTTGTCCTATTCTCAGGGGCGGATGTAAGTGTTGGTTGGGGAAGGCCATTGTCCCCCCAACATTTTTTTTTCCTATTAAGTCTATATAAAATTATATTTTCATATTCATCCTCAATTTAAATAAATAAGTTGAGGCTTTAATAATCAAGTGTATTACCTAAAAATAAAAATAGATAATTCAAAAAGAATAATAGTAGCTGAATTTGAACAACTCTATCCTATCCCATTTGTACTTCATGTACTAATAATTATAAATAATAATTAGATATTGTACGTCTTCTATAAATACGCTTGTATATAACTTAATACGCAACGAGGAATAAATTTAATATACAATTTAATGTGGTAGAAATATATGATATATGCTTATAGAAAATTCGAACATAAAAATTTTCTTTTATTTTTCCGTAGTTTTATTCTGTACGGAAAGTTCGAGTTAACTATTAATATGTTCCATAACTTAAGAAAATTAAACAACTGTAATTGCTAGCAAAGTTTGGAAGTACAATATTTTCTATATATTGAATGTGTGATGTTTTTAAAAATTATATTTTACGCCGCCTCCCCCACTAAAATTTTCTCGATCCGTCCCTGCCTATTCTATTACATACCATTATTTTTAGGTTAATTAATCCAAAAAAAATAATAATAATAAATAAAATAGAGTAAGTTGGTAAGTTCCAGAACTGCTAACGGCGTCAAAATATCTGTTAAATGTGTAAATTAAAGTAGTAAATGTGGACCCACTCTCCAGCTTCTTCATATACGTGCCCAATCCTTTTTCACTTTCCCTTTCATCACCACTCCGTACAAAAAAATCCTCTGCAAATTCATAGGGAGAGAGAGCAAGAAAACCCCCAAATCGCCACAACATTTGCAGACAAAATCTTCAAAGCCTACGAGCTCCGATCATGGGAAACGGTCACATTGAAATGTATTTTGATTAGCATTGCTTGTGCCATCCATTGAAGAAGGGATTTTCATCTTTTCTCTACCTCTGGTAAGTATTCATGATTAATTTTTTCTCTTTTTATTTCTTACTTATATATGATCTCGAAATTTTCTATGCTTGTTGTAAGAACTTTTACCTCCGGATGCTGATTTTTTATTATTTATAAGTTCAATCATCCTGTATCTTGAGGAACAAGGTTTGATGAATAGAACTGTGTGTTCAGAGATTTGAAACATCGTTACATCAGCTGAAATTTGTTGTGGCTTGTCATCGGGTTCTCTTTGTTTTGGGAATTCATGTGTACATTTTGTTTTTATTTTGATTTTTGAATGGGTAATGTGCTTGTAATAAAAATCTAGGGATTTGATATATAGTGACATTGGTTTTTATTTTTATTTTTCATTCTAATTTTTAGCCATTTAAGTATAGCTGTAGTCATTTTCTTTGATCTGATTAGTTCNTAAACACTTTTGCAGAGAGAAGAGTTTTAAACTTCAAAGCTGCAATGTCTGTTGCTAGTGTAGCTCTTAGTCCTGTTTATGACGATTATTGGAACTTCCCGGGCCGTGTTTCGGGTCAACACGGCCCATGGTCAAATGACTCGATTTTAATCTACCTAACAGTAGGTGGCTCAGTGATTCCCATGCGAGTCCTCGAGTCTGACTCGATCGCTTCAGTCAAACTCCGTATCCAAAAGTGCAAAGGCTTTTTTGCCAGAAAGCAAAAGCTCGTTTTTGAAGGGAAGGAATTGGCTAGAAACAGTTCTCCTGTTCGGGACTACGGCGTGGCTGATGGTAAAGTATTGCATCTTGTCCTGAGATTTTCTGATCTGCAATCAATCACAGTCCGAACAGTTTGCGGCAAGGAATTCGAGTTTCAAGTCCAGAGAAAAAGTAATGTCGGCCACGTGAAACGGCAGATTGCCGAGAAGGGTGATGGCTTTTTCAACCTTAAAGATCAAGAACTGTTCTGTGATGGTGAGGAGCTCGATGACCAGAGGATCATAGACGATTTGTGCAGGAGCAATGATGCAGTTATTCATTTCCTCGTTCGTAAATCGGCAAAACTCCGAGCTGTCCCTGTCGAGAAAGATTTCGAGGTGTCGATAATCGCATTAGATGCAGAAAACAAGGCAGACAAGAAAACATGGGCCGGGAAAGGCCCGATTATCGCTGTTCCTAGGCGAAAGGATTTTCTGCTGGAGCCGTTGAACATCAACCCTAAGGTCATTATGTCACCAGTGCTTAAGAAACTAATCGAGGACACTTTTCGCGGGCTGGAAATGGGCCACCGGCCGGTTAGGTCGTCCGAGGGCTCGGGAGGTGCTTATTTCATGCAAGACTCGTCTGGTCAGAACTATGTCTCGGTTTTCAAGCCGATCGATGAGGAGCCGATGGCTGTAAATAATCCACGTGGACTGCCCTTGTCCACCAATGGTGAGGGATTGAAGAGAGGAACACGGGTTGGGGAAGGGGCAATACGGGAAGTTGCGGCTTATATTCTGGATGAGAGAGGGTTTTCAGGGGTCCCACCCACAGTAATTGTGAAATGCCAGCATGAGGGATTTTACTACTCGGGAGATTTTAACGGTGGCAGGTCGGGTAAGTTTGGTTCGCTTCAGATGTTTGTGAAGAACTGCGGTAGCTGTGAGGATGTGGGCTCACGTGATTTTCCCGTGGCTGAGGTGCACAAGATATGTGTGCTGGATATAAGGTTGGCAAATGCGGATAGGCATGCGGGGAATATTCTGATTTGTAAGGATGGTGAGGATGGTCAGATGAATCTTATCCCTATCGATCATGGTTACTGCCTGCCTGAAAATGTAAGTATATTTATCTCGTTTTTTGGAGTATCTTTAATTTTATTTGCCGTTTGAGTGGTGTTTGATGGTATGTTTTCGTAAGGTGTATAAGCATGTTTTTTTACTAGAACTCGAAAAAGATGGTTCTTTGATCACCTCTTACATTTGGTGCTTAGCTTTGGGTTGTCCATTGGTAATTGGCCGAATTAGATGTTAAATACTTCCTGCACAAGCGCTTCATTTTATGGATAACCATTACCATTAATCGTGTATGATGCTGTTATCATTATTCATGTAAAAGGTGGTTTTTCGGATAGAACATCTTATCCATTTTTACCTGAAAAATTCTAGGTGCCATGTGTGAATGTGTTTTTTTCTGCTAATGACCTTTTCATTATAGAGCTTCATTGTTATGCACATTATCAAGTGAGCTTCTTTAAGCTCACATGCTGTGTACTTGTAATTCAGAAAAATTACTGGATAAGTTTTGTATATAAGCCATAAACCACACGGTAGTTCGTTCAAGTTTCCCTATTTTTGTTTATTGAAACGGCGAAATGAATCTATAAACCAAGACATGCTAATACCTAACAAACAAATGAAAATACAGTCTTGTGACCAACAAACCGGCATGACTTCACCACATGGCTCGACCATATGTTGTATGAGTTTTTTTTGTTTTTTTTTTCCTTTACTTTTTCATCATACACTCAACTCTGCAGTTCGAAGACTGCACGTTCGAGTGGCTCTACTGGCCACAGTCCCGGAAGCCTTTCTCCCCAGATGAGATCTCCTACATAAACTCCCTAGATGCTGAAAAGGACATCCAACTCCTCAAGTTCCACGGATGGAACATTCCGGAAGAATGTGTGCGTGTTCTACGGATTTCCACCATGCTTCTGAAGAAAGGCGCGAATAGGGGGCTCACACCCTACGAAATTGGGAGCATCATGTGCCGGGAGACTGTGAAGAAAGAATCAGTAATCGAGAAAATGGTTAAAGAGGCAGAGAAATCTGTTTTACCTGGTACAGGTGAATCAGCTTTTCTCGAGTCTATTTCAACTGTTATGGACCATTATCTACCCAACTTTCGGGTTAACTCGTACTAAAAA